TGTTCTGTTTATCTCTGTTCTGTGTCTGTGTGTCTGAGATTTGTGTAAGCACCATAATGTAAGTAGAAACAACCATGTAATAATGAAGTTAAATATTCAGTAGCTATTTGGCCATTAGTCCCATATGACTATGATGTACAAGTTGAATTTCATCAGAAGCAGATTTTTTTTTTGGAAGTCTGCAATGCTGTACAGTGTACGGGGTGTCGTGAACCACGATCTGTCACCAGCGGTCCGATCACAAGCACTGTAATATTACGTCGTCCGCACAGAGCTGCAAACATGGTAGAAATAAGCGATCACAACCACGCAATTATACTGCCGTCCGCCACACGATGGAAACATGCGAAGCACGTAATATTACGTTTACGTTGTACCCATTCACATCTATCTATATTCTAACTTTGGAGTCCGTATTATCAACCAGTACATAGCATACAATAAAACATTTCTGTGTGGGTGTGTGTATCTTCACTGTGTACTTGCCAAACAAATGGTTAAAGTGTTACGTGTAAAGCATGATTGCACATGTATTTGTATTGACACTCACCATAACAAACAAACATGTGCAACAACTAAACTCTCCATATAACACCTCTACACATAACACTACTGCACTGCATGGTAACACATGCATCACAGTTACTTAAGCCGCGCCGTAGCGCGGTTTCAGCTAGTTATCAATAATTCATTGATCATCAATGATCAAGTCCGGATGCACACTTGAAATCCTCGCAGCATCGTTTTCTGAGATAAAGTACTTTCTGGAAGAGGATGATGTAAGAGATGGGGTGTTGATTGCTACACAGAATATCATCTTCTGTAACCCAGCATGATCTGTTTCAATGGCCATGTGAATTGCTTGGATGGTCCATGAGGGTGCATGAAATTGATGTGGTAGTCACTAAACTCCTCCGAAATTTCGTCCACCATTTGCCAATCCAGCGGAAAGCCGTCATAAAGACAGCAGACCAGTTTTGTTCCTTTATTTCTGATTGCACAGATGGTTTTGGTTCTAGTTCTGCATCATTACTGTCTCAGAACTTCTTTGCAACATCACATGGCAAGATGGCCTGTGACGATAATAGGAGGGGACTGTCAACGACTAGTCACCAAGGCTATCCTGCAGCGCCCCATATAATGACCAGACTTCGACAGCGGACGGAATTATGGATTTCTGCGTGGAGAATATCCCTGGTATCACGTTTTTTCCAATGTGACACCAGAGGAGTAACTCAATCAGCTTCAGAGTTAAAGGCCAGGTTTGACATGGTGAAAACTATTAAAGCGAACACTGCAATACCACAGATTCATTCCAGTCTCCAACTCTACGCTACATGTGTACAAGTTGAGTAACCAAGCTGGCCCTGCGGATTTAGTACATGTTTCAGACAGTAATGATGCAGAACTAGAAACCAGAACCATCAGAAATAAAGGAACAAAACTTGGTCTGCTATCTTTATGACGGCTTTCCGTGGATTGGCATGGTGACGAAATTTCGGAGGAGTTGGCTGACTACCACATCAAATTCATGCACCCTCATGGACCTACCAAGGCAATTCAAATGCCATTGGAAAACAGATCAATGCTGGGTTCAGAAGATGATATTCTGTGTACAATCAACACCCCATCTCTTACATCATCCTCTTCCAGAAGTACTTTATCTCAGAAAACGATGCTGCGAGGATTTCAAGTGTGCATCCGGACTGGATCATTGATGATCAATGATTATGATAATTGAGAACATGGTAATATAATGATTTTTTCATTAGACTGAAATAGTCATTAGAATGTTATTGCCCCCTGTCATTCTCAATCAGGTTATGTACAGCAAAGCCATGTTGGGATTAACTTGATATCCGAAATAGATTGGAATGCGTATACATATGTGCCTACATGTACCAGCATTGCATAGAATAGGCGTTATTTCACCTACTCTGCCGCAACTTTTAGAAGAGCTGGAAAGCAAACAAAAATATTTATCTCTAATTTTTGTATATTATGTAGAAAATAGTTGAGGTATAATTTTCAATAAAGTTCATCTCAAGGTTACGTGATCCACAAGTCAAGTAAAGGCAAAAGGTCATCAAATTTTATACTGCTCTATATAACAAATAATGACAGATTTGATTGCCTATGCAATAGGGGTGTAACGATATACCGGTATATCGGTATATTGCAATATAATTGAAAACTCGATATATCGCGATACAACTTCCGGATATCGATATTTTACGATACGGTGGATAACAAGAAATAAATTACTGACATTTGCCTTTATGTCTATATGTTAATTGGGCTCGAAAATTATGCACTGGCGGTGTATATATATTACGAAAGCACAATGCCTACACGACGCATACAGTATTACTGGTAAGCGACCACTTGCGTGGAGCACTGCGCGGTACTGTGGTACTACTGCGCGCAAGAGTGGGCAGACGTGTGAGCGAGGCAGAGAGCACGGCAACCAGGGAGTCTATATAATAGCCTATGCTCACCTGAGTGCCGCGCGCGCGCGCGATACAAGCTGAAGGCGAGCACCCACTTTTTCAGTTTCAGTTTCTGTATCCAGTATATAGCCAATATATGCAGCAGGGGTATTGTGTATTCCAGCCACGGCAGTGCCTTCGAGAGGGTATTCAGTACAGCGGTGACATTGTTACGGCACAGAGGGCTGCCACTGTCAGCGGAAAACCATTGCCGTGCTTCTGTTTCTCAAGAAAACATGAGAAATTAATCATGTCACTATAATACAATATAATGATGATATTAAACCATCAAATATGTTACTATATCATGCATGGTATACAACTTTCCGCAATACGGTATTGGAAAATATTGCAATACGGTTTTGTCGTATTGCAATATATTGCAATACGGTTTTTGGTCCCAATACTCACCCCTACTATGCAATTAGCTTTCCAAAGACACCAATATTAACTAATTTGGCCTAGTAGTTACAGAGATACGACCATTTGAAAATTGACGGGTGTGTCCATTTTGGCCAAAATCGCCAAAAAAGGGCGTGGCGTAGCGCGAAAACCGTTTGTCCGACGGGTTCAGCCTAAATTACCCCATAAACCAAATTTCAGCCAATTTGGAAAGGGTAAGGTGTAACCCATTGGGTGAACTGACACGGAATGACCCATAAGTCGATAATTTTGGAATCAGCATATTTGTGCCGACTTACGAAAATGATTTTGTCGACTTCTATGTAGGGCTCTCCTTCCAGACGCCCGTCACCCCTACGCAGTCATAAACATGCTCCACACACAACGTCAGTTCGTGCCACATACATAGCAGACATGAAACAATCGAGTCCGTACGCCAATCGACACCACTGCTGGCCATAACGCACGTACATCGTACGCACTAGCGGCAAGCGCGGCACACGCTGGCTATCTGTAACACCCGCTGTTGATTACACGTTTGGACATTGCAGGATATTTGCGGTGCACATCTGCTAAATTTTCTTGGAACACTTGCTAAAAAAATATGGTAATTCCGCGAGGCCGTGCTCTGGAACGAACTAGTTAAAATATAGCAGAATATAGGCGCGTTCACACGGACGTTTTTGGCCCGAGCCTAATTAGACCCGCGCCAGATTTGGCTCGAGCCGAGAGTTCACACGGACTGTTTTTCGGGCCGTGCCAATTTGGCACGAGCCAATTTGGTCCCATCGAAAATGTCGGACCAGGCCCGAGCCAAATTTTAGCACCAGCTTTCGAAAAATGTGATCAGGATGCATGTTTTCAAGATTGATAATTGAACTCGGAACGTAAGTAAAGACTCTGAATCGTACACAACGCCATCTCGCGACATACTGCCAAAGTATCTGTGAGATATTTGTGCAATAAAATTTATTTGAATTTGAATTTGAATTTGACAGACAGTATTCACTTGCATACGTGTGAACGCTCTGACTCAAACCGGCCCGAGCCAAATTTGGCCCGAGCCAAATTTAGCCCATTTGGCTCGAGCCAAACCATGACCGTGTGAACGCGACTTGTATCAAATTTTGCACAGGGGAGAGATAGTGATCCGCTAGAGATCACTCTTTTCAACGTTTTTGTTAAGCGCTAACAAAAACGGCTCTGATTGGCTAATTTTGTCTTTTATTTATTTTATTGTTTATTATTTTTGGCTAATTTTGTCTTTTATTTATTTTATTGTTTATTATTTTTGGCTAATTTTGTTTTATTTTAGAATTAGGGATAGCCCTGGTTAGGATTAGGGTTAGGGTTAACTGATTTCTATATCCAGAACTTATTTCCAGAGGTCCCAAGTTGGGAAAATCCAAGAAAGGGAGCCAGCAATCCAAGAAAGGGAGCACTTGTGATAATGGTCCATTGCCGTTTTTTCGCAGTGCGCAAAAACAGGAAAAAAGTTGTGGCAGGCTGCAATCAATATGTGTTTGTCGCGGCACACCACCATTTTTTATAAAGTATACATGTAAAATAAAATGCAAATTCATGTTAATTTATGGGTTTACATTTATTTATTATTATACGAGTATATTACACATTGCATCACATTAATGCTTGACATTTGTGGTCTTTTATTGTTTGCTGGAATCAAAGTACATCAACAACAACGGCAAATTTAGTAATTTACTGATGTAAATTTTCATATGGCTGAATAATGTTACGACCGGGAGCTTCTGGACTCATTCCGGGGCACCGGGAGCAGCGTGTCATACCGGGAGGATCCCGGTGAGACCGGGAGACTTGGGACGTCTGTATTTCTATATTCACTATCTCTCCCCTGAGACCTACTAGAATATATATGGCTCTGTTCTGATGTCAACTTACAGATGGAAAATTACTGTTGTTTGTATTACATATGAGACCTGTCTGAGGGCGACGACTTGCACATAATGACGGCTTATAAATGACGACTTAGGCGGGGCTATTCCGGCGGGACATTGACTTCCATGACGATTTATGCAAATTGACGAGTTAGACGATGACGACTTATGGGAGTTTTACTGTATTGCGTATGTGTTGCATTGATCCCATGACTAAATATTTCAGCTGCTACGTGAGCTGAAACACCCAAATGTAATCTGCCTGCAGCGAGTGTTTCTGTCCCACAGTGACCGCAAGGTGTGGTTACTGTTCGACTTTTCGGAACACGATTTGTGGGTGAGTGTGTATAAGTTGGTCACAGTTAGAGTAACGTTAGTACTAACTTTTGATGTAAGAAAATTCCAAAAGTAAGGTTACATCTATAACCGTCACGTGACCTAGTCAGTTTAACTTTAAGTATGGTAAGTATATATTATATATTTTAAGGCATGATCACTTTTCACTCAGGTATGGCAATAAGAAGTAATTTATGCCTCTCATGATTGCTATTTTTTGTGTATAGAGTAGAGAGTACAATGTTACTGGTTGCAAAGTCCCAACCATAGATTAATTTAGTATGGTCGTAAATGTTATTATGCGCAGCTCAAACTGCCTCGTTGACTTGTGCAGATGTATAGGATTATGTTTAGCATATTGTGATCGTTATGGTGCAATTATCGGCTCTAGTAACGCATTGGCAAGTATGATGTGTCTATTCTGCACTATCCTATCATTTTAACACGTAGAACATAATACACGTATTTTATAAAAGATTTAAAAGAACGGGTAACCTTTTTTATAATATAACTTGTATCTGTGGTAATCAGGGTTCCCACGGTCATTAAAAGTCATTAAAAGTCATGGAAAATGGATTTTGGTTTTCCAGGCCTTGAAAAGTCATGGAAAATGGGGAAAGTCATTAAAAGTCATTAAATGTGAGATTTTCCTGGAGCATTTTCTTCTGTCAAGTTTTTGTAATATTTGAAATCATTATCATTATAACTAGCCCAACAGAGGGGAGGAAGCACAGTCCCCAGTGCTGTAATCTCAAATGTTATACAAAAGCTATTGATTTCAGGGTCATGCATTATGTTAAATAAAGTTTATTAACATTTTTTCGAAATCGATGCACTGCATGATGTATGATTCGTTATTATATGCAAATTCTTCTCAAATTAGTCATTAAATTTGGAAATTTTAGTCATGAAAAGTCATGGAAAAGTCATTAAATTTCACTCCAGGTGATCTGTGGGAACCCTGGTAATTTTTATCAACCACATTAAAATTGGTGTGTTACTGCCTAATATGAGACACTTCTGAGATAACCTTTGCATTTTAGCATATAATAAAGTTTCATCGAGCATCCAAGGCAAATAAGAAAACTGTGATGGCTCCAAAGGCAATGGTAAAATCTCTACTGTACCAGATACTTGATGGAATACACTACCTACATTCTAATTGGGTTTTGCATAGAGATTTGGTAAGTATTATAAAATGACAACAAACGTCTTTTTGATAGTATTGGGATATATAAGCAAGTATTCCTCCAACTAGAGAATTACTGTCTTAAATTTTTTACTGCTGCTATCAGTCCTGTACTGGATATTGTAAAACACCACCACATAGCATAATCCATAGCATAATAAATTACAAATCATCAACCAAGGTTTCAAGGTAAAGTTTGAATTGATTTTTTATTATTAAGTTAAAATCTCACAGATAAGTTGCTGTTAAAAGGTACTAATAAATATAACAATCAGTTGCTAAATTGTTATCACTTGCACATTTGTTTCACAGTGGTAGAATATTGTGAATTATTACCAGTCATAATTATATACAACATTTCAGAAACCTGCAAACATTCTAGTAATGGGAGAAGGTGCAGAAAGAGGCAGAGTGAAAATAGGTAAGCACATAGCTGTGTTGATTCACAATTTCACACGATGAACAATATTAAAGTGTGGTAATAACTGTGGCATAACGTTTTCATGCTTGCCTAGTCTTGAATTTGTGCACATGATTTAGTGATTGAAATGATTTCGATAACACTACACATAATCTCTGCTAGCATTTATGTTATTAAAACTATATTTCAATAAAGTTTTAATAAAACCAAAGTTAGTATAAAATGTGTGTAAAAATGATTCATATAATTAAATTTTTGGCATGCATTTTATTTATATGAATTGAATGCTATGTGCAATAACAAGTTTAGAACATTAGAACAGCAGAGATTTTTTTCATAGATAGTTTTTTATTTTAAATGCTGTTTTGTGTGCATCCTTCTGAGAGCAATGTTATATATCTTGTAAAAAAAACATCGGTGTGAAAGTCAACTGCTACTCTTGAGAACAATAATCACTATAGTGGTATCAAAAAAGTCCTGTCGACTCATGTCATAAACATAAATGTTCATTCTTTACCATTTAAAAATGCGTACTGCTGCAGTACAGGCATACTCCTTCTTATTTTAGCTGACATGGGATTCGCACGATTGTTCAATAATCCACTAAAACCATTAGCTGACCTTGATCCAGTTGTCGTGACATTCTGGTATCGTGCTCCTGAGCTGCTCCTGGGAGCAAGACATTATACCAAAGCCATTGGTGAGTATAAGCGTAGGAATTATTTACCTGTACATATAAATAGGTTATTTATGTGGTTCATATATAAATGGTGAGAACATTGATTCATATCCCCCTATATAAATGGGTAAATGATTAATTTAAGTATTGTTCAAATCTATCAAGTGATTGTTTGATTAGCTTAGAAAAAGTAACCCCTCTTAACAATTTATTCATCAACCTTCACATGTCATTCACCCAGTTTGAACTCTTATTCATTCACCTTCATGTGCTATTCACCCACCTTCACATGTCATTAACCTACATGCACATGTTATTCGTCCACTCTCAACTGTTATTAATCACTTTTGCATGTCATTCACCCACATTTACACATCATTCAACCACCTTTACATGTCATTTCCGTACTTCGTGGTACAAAAGCCCTTTGTAAATATATAGCAGATCAAAAAGCTAAACAAAATTTGTTTATATGAAAAAAGTAGCATACTGATAAACTGATCCTATTGCTAACTGCTACGGGATTATTTTCTAAAAGCCTTCCTAATTTGTGGATTATTTTGTGCAGATATATGGGCAGTTGGTTGCATTTTTGCTGAGTTGCTCACATCTGAACCAATATTCCACTGCAGGCAGGAGGATATCAAGACAAGTAATCCATATCATCATGACCAGTTAGACAGGATATTCAATGTAATGGGTTTTCCCCAGGGTAGGTTTCAGTCTGAAGTATAGCATTTCTGATTTAGGAGTTCACCCTTCACAAACAAAAATTCCACAATTATATTTTGCCACGTAAAAAATGAGCAAGTGCAGATAAAGGTGCATATTGCATAAGGCTGGGTAGAATTACATTGTAGGAATGCACATCAAGGTTTCATTAGATTGTAAGAAAGTACCAAACACAAATGTTTTGACATTTTATGAAACAATCCTAGCTAACACCACAAGCATTTTTCGATGGTGTGGTGCTTATTAAACTTACATCTCTATTTAATAGTTTGCTGTCTTGTGTCATGCAGCATTTTAATGTGATAAAAGCTAAACCAATTGATATACATCGGTGACTAAAATTAATTTCTACCATGTTGTTTCAATAGTTATGATTTTAATTGCATTTAATTAAAAAAACAAAAAAATTCACAGAAAAGGACTGGGAAGATATCAAGAAAATGCCAGAATACAGCACTCTAGTGAAAGACTTTAAGCGATCTAGGTATGAGTTCAAGTTGCATTTACATGTTTTCTGATTAAGCTTGTTCACGTCATATATAGCCAACTTAAATGAGTGAGCATGCTGTTACTATTTTTATATATGCATATCAATAGCCGAAAAATTAATTATTGTACAAACCTATTGCAGTTACAGCACTTGCAGTTTGACCAAGTACATGGAGAAGCACAAAATACTATCTAACAGCAGTGCCTTCAAATTGGTAAGAGCTCACATAATTAGAAAAGACAAAATCATGGAAACTTAATATAGTGATGACTATTCACAAGGACCTAACCATCCATGGATTTATATTGTTAAAGATAGTGATAGAATGGCTTGCCAAAGCACATTAATCATTGTAGATTATTTCCATGTGCTCTGTTACTGAATGTGAATAATAAACACTTGAGAGAGAGAAAGAGAGAGTGGGGAAAGTTTGAGAGAGAGAAGAGAAAAAGAGAATGAGGAAGCCAGCAAATGAGTTATAATTATAGTCTGACTGCTGTGCTAGCATGTAGAACAGCTTTCCCTGACATTTCAGACATTTTTCATTTGGTAATAAATCTGTCAATTCTGCTTTGATGATAATATGTAAAAATTATTAATAATGTGTTCTGCCTGTTTCTATAAGCAGGTTAGATGCAGGTTTTGTTTTACTCACTTCAATAAAACATACATTCCCTGCCTTCCTGATTTCACACCATGATTACCGTGCGGATGTTACATTAGCAAAGTCTCACACGTTTTCCAGCTGTCAAAATTACTTACTATGGACCCAGCAAAGCGAATAACGTCTGAGATGGCAATGCATGACCCTTACTTCCTGGAGGAGCCACACCGGACAGGAGATGTCTTTGCCGGATGTCCCATACCATATCCAAAGCGAGAATTTCTTACCGACGATGACAACGAGGATAAGTCCGATACCGGAAAAGTAAGGGGCATTATAAACTGCATAGTTTTAAGGTTGAGGAAAGGGAAGCTCTGTTCACTGTTGAGTGGAATGTGTGAAAATGCACAAGGCAGTGATAGAGAGAGAGGGAGAGAGAGAGTGTGTGTGAGAGATAGAGAGAGAGAGAGAGAATGTTTGCTATGCTTTAAGAAGAAAAGGTTCACATGCATTCTTTCTCACTCTCGGTTGTTGCTGTTCTTAAGGTACAGGATCAGTCGAGCGCTCATGCGCCCCCTGCAAAGCGAGTGCGAGTGGTGCCACCAAACACAACCTCCACCATGTCCAGTGATTATCCGGTAAGATACCTACTGATAATGAGCCAAAGTGAACTTTTAATGAAGACAGATTGATTTTTGGAAAATGTTCAGAATTTTCAGAAAAGTTGGTGCGTGTCAAAACCATGAACATATATATGTATGTTGTGTAAATGCCAATATAGCATTGGCTTCAGAAATTAGGTGTTTCAGAATTTTATAGAAGTGACAACAGATGTCATTGATACTGATGTTCGAGATTTGCTTTCCCTCAAGGTGGTGAACAACAGTAGATGGCGTCCATAGGCGGCCGGCCTGAATAAGCATCGAACACAAATTAATTAAAAATACTCACACTGTTACTTCGCATACACAACATACACTTTAATTATGTCAAATAACTACAGATTCATGCTCTATGCTCCGCTCGAAACTTTTGCCAGCTCTATGATGCAAATTTCTGCAAAGTAGTCTGAACACATTTCAAACACAAAAATGACCAACTGGTCGCTGTGGCTGCTCCACCTGACGGAATGTCACAACTACACGACAAGACCAATTTTACTTCTAATGATTTCTAGACGTCCACGAGGCATCTAACTTGCGTGCATACTGCAAATTATTGCACTCTACTGCCGAATTTCAGCGGGAAAAAAAAAAAAAATGCTTTTTCTAGTGACGAAATAGTGCAACAGTGAACAATTTGCGGAGGCTTACTGTTGTACGCCTCCTCAAGGTGTTTTGCAAAAGTTGAGGACGTCCATAGGCAGCAGGCCTGAATAGGCATGTCAGAAAAATTATCAAAACACTTAGAAAGTTTTAAAGCATACATAAAATGGAATATATTCATGCCAAACCACAACAGATTCAAAGTCCAAAATTCACTGCAAACTTTTGCCAGCAATACGATACACACATTTAGTACGTTTGCACCCATTTCACACACAAACATGTCCTTCTTATCATGACTATATGTATAATGCAAATTAGTACACTCTAGTGCCAAATATTACAACCAAAAATTGAGAAATGGGCTTTTTACAGACATGAAGTAATGTAATGGTAAATAATTCACAGAAGACTTCCCCCTTTAGTGATTCCCAAAACGTCCATCATTGAACATTTTGCTCCGTTCGACAGTCTAGTGTATAAAATTGAACCAGACCTGTATTTGTGTAGCTTATGGCGTTCTAATGAGATAATCATTGCTTTGTACTTATTATAGATGCTTTGCCAACGTATGAGTACATATTAGATATTGTTATAGATTAGTGATGGTGCTCAAATTGATTCATTTACACCCAGTCATCTTTATGGTAGCATAGGTATATTCTTCAAAAGCATGGTTTAGCAGTGGTCTGTGCATATTTAAGGAGCTTTTTATTTTTGTCTTTTAGTCTCACATGCAAATGCAGGGAAATCACCAAAACATGCAGTACTCCAGTGCAAATCAGCAGCAGCAACAACAGCAACAGCAGAATTATGGGCAGCGATACTGATCAGTGCGCTAACGTTTAACAGCAGTGTGCTTGTCCTATTCGTCTTTGCTATTTCATGGAGTGGAATATGTGCCTCGAAAAGTTTAGTTATGGATTTGTGAGCGTAATAACAGGAAGCTTAAATGAACACATCATCTGGGGCGGGATCTTCTGGTATATCATAAGCTCTTGCATACTAGGTAGCGATGGCATGAATTACCATGATACAGCAATCTGCTGTGCTATCTTGAATCTAGTTTGCTTTTGCAGCATTCTCTATTTGTGAGGTGCACTGCACCAACGAAACTAGACAATACAAGTAACAGCGCATGATTAAGTGTGGTGACCATCAACGTGTGGGTAACAAACGTCCGATTCCACAGGGTTGTGATTGTATACACTGCAGACATGATTCAGGCGATTGTAGTAAGGCTCTATCTTCATTGTAGTGTCATAGTATATATATATATATATATATAATATAGCGTGTCTTAAGCAGGTTTTTATTTTTAATTATGGAACAGCTAAAATTTGTCTGTGACATCAACTCGTGATTGAAAGCTTGCCAGTAGGCGGGTTTATGTAAAAATGACTTTGAAAACGAAATGTTGTTATCTGCCCCGCTGATATGGCTCACCTCGAAAGCAGGCATGTCCCCTTATTATGTGAACACACTGAATAGGCATTTTTTTAACAGAAACTACGGTATTACAAGTTACGTAGATCTACAGAATAGCTATGCAAATGCAGAACTATGTTGTTTTGCCTTTTGTTTCTAAGTCATTTCCGAGAGCAAAGTTACAGAGGGACCCACGCATTAGCGTATATATATATATATACATATATATATATATATACATATATATATATATGATGCGGATTGTTCGTTTGTTATACTATGTTTGCAAATTATTTCACTCTGGTGTAGTCGGTGTCTGCAGACGTATTTTTCGTGAACATACGCTTTTCTGCTTCTTCCCAACTCATGGCTTTATTGCCTCACTCTTCTCATCAAACGACGCAGGAGTTATGCAAAAATATTGTTTTATTTTCCTAAAGTGCATGTAATATATTAACTATCGTATGTATACTATATTGATATGTTGTGCTATAAATAAGTATAATAAATTAAAACGACCTTGTTCTTTTTTGCATCCGTGCTCTTGTGTCGTGGTGTCATGGTTAGTAAATGTGCGCCGTGTGGCAGACTTGACTTCAGCACTGCAATGATACATTGAGGTTAGAGTAATTAGTTAGCTGTCATGGGGGCGTGTGTGACATAAGCTACGTATGCTTAGATTCTATCAGGAGTGAATAATAGACTCCTATTATAATATATCTATTATAATATAAGGACATGTGTGAAGAAGAGGCCTGGACAGCCTCTACGGGGCACAGCTCGACTGAGCTCGCCTCTATTATAATATAATATATATATATATAATTATAATATATATTATATAGAATCTCTATTATTCACTCCCGGTTCTATGGTATGACCACGTGGCTCTGCTGTTTTCTGTGTACGTGCACGCGTGTGTAAACGATTGCCCCTCTCCCCCTATTCCCCCTCCTCCGGTAAACTGTCAATCATTTTCTGTGGCAGGCCACCCCTCCCCCCGCGCCTGTGCCGAACGCCCACAGTGCAGATTTAATCACGGTACATACCATTAGTTTGTTTTCTAAGTCTAAATAGGAAATGGGTTTCTGATCCGTTTCCTATTTTAAAAGTCTAAATAGGAAATAGGGTATGGGTTTCTGATCCGTTTCATATTTTAAAAGTCTAAATATTAAAATGGGAAAAGGAAAAGGAAGGGGGTACGTGCGTGTATCCGCGTGTACGTGCGTGTATCTGCGTGTACCCGCGTGCACGTGCGTGTACCTGCGTGTACCCACCTGCACGTGCGTGCACCCGCGTGTGTGCACGTACACGCGGGTACACGGAGATACACGCACGTACCTCCTTTCCTTTTCCTTTTCCCATTTTCTATTTAGAATTGGAAACGGATCAGAAACCCATTTCCTATTTTCTATTTTTATATTAAAAATAGGAAATAGTCAGAAACCCATTTCCTATTTGCAACGTCAAATGGGAAAATAACTAACGGTATGTGCCGTGGTTACACATAATTTTGCAATCACCCGCGGCACGCCTGCGGTCATAGGAATGCAAGTCTTTGAACAATTTTATACGGATCTCACTCCCAATATCTTTCGCACTTACACCTACGCCTTTGGTCGGTTGGTGTTGATTTTTAGCTCATCTGACATAGTCAGATGCAGCTTGTAGAATCGCATGAGCGTGCGTCCGTCCGTGCGTGCGTCCGTCCGTCCGTACGTCCGTCAACAGTTGGGCACAAATCTAAACGGCTCGACGTACGGATTCGAAGTCGGGACGTAGGGGGTAATTCGAAAACGAGTTGGGATGTCGAAGCTGGGGGTCAAAGGTCAAGAGGTGTAAAAGAAGGGGGAACATTCCCTCCTTAACTTAAGGTATAGGGAGGAAATGCAGAATGCGGCACAAATCTAAACGGTTCGACCTAGGCTCGTGATAGTCGGTGTATAGCATCATGGTAGGAAAAGCCGTCACTCGAAATTGGAGATCACATGTCAAAGGGCAGTGGGGGAAAGGTCAGATATCAGACTTTTTCTGAGGACATGGGCTAACGGGCAGAGTGGAAAACATTTTTGTTTCAGCGCTGACCTACCATTTTTATCACTTTATTGAAAGGACCATGAAATGTGCTTTCCACTGACGTGCGAAGAGTCGGTGTCTGATAACCTTTTGACCCTCAAGAGGAGGGTTAAACATGGATTCCTGAACTGCCTCAATGATGTCACAGTCATGGCACATCCATAATCTGGGAACCCAATATTCCTCGATAGCCTAACGGCTACAGCACAGGATTAGGGCTCAAAGGTCCTTGGATCGAATTTCATCAGATTATTTATTATTTACCTGTGTTCTGTATTTTTCTATCTTTATTCATTTAACTATTTTTTTCCAATTAAGGAAAATATTTACATGATTTATTTACAACAATTTCATAACAACAAATAATTTTTACAAGAATTACATTTTTTTTAATAGGGTTAGGGTTAGGGTCACAATGTACCATAAAAACAGGAGTTTCAGGCACGCGATTTGTATCAACCAATGGCATTTGGGAGGTACGCAGAATGCAGAAGGTTGCTGAAATGATGTGTACGCAACTGCGTATCTGCATATCTGCGCCTAACAAAGGTCTCACTACGCACGACTTAAATGTTACGTTTATCATTCTACAAACAGACCTCAGATGAGCCCAGACGCTCTGCGGCTCTAGTTGTTTTATATTGACTCTTATAAAACGAGATTTCTTACAAAGTGCCATTCGAAACCTAAACGACCCCCCACCTCTTAATACATGTGTATGCGCGTGCGTGCGTGCGTGTGTGTGCGCGTGCGTGCGTGCGTGCGTGCGTGCGTGTGTGTGCGCGTGCGTGTGTTCGTGCGATTTTGTCGGTGCGTGGGCGGTTAGGGTCGCCTTGCCAGCCACTGGACTAGCGATGTTTGCGCGAATAGCAAAAATGCATCCCTATGCATAGAAATGGCATAAACGCGCCTGCAAGAAAATAATAAATACTACAGTTGAGGATTTAGGTGAGAGAGCTATATTTGGCGAATATATTAATCCATTTCTGTTGTACTATATGTATTCATGAATTACAAAAACGGTATTAGAACAGACGAACATCGCACGACTATAATCTCGGTCGGTTCGGCACGCATGCAGGCACCTCAACTTTTAAATGCGCCCCATTTAATGATAAACAAAATAATATTCTACGTGACAGATACCGAAAATGTGCGAACGCATCCGTTACCGCTATTTGCTAATATCCTACAGTGGGTCGGATTGGCCGGCTGTGTGTGTGTGGCTTGTCGGCAGGCCTATGTGCTCTCTAAATTAAAAAATCCAATTTCAACAAAATAATATTGTATTGACTTAATAAAGGGTTGAGATACAGCTACAAATGTCATGTAGGAAACACATTGTTATTTACTGACTGATTTCAACTTTGTGTGCCTGTGCCTGTGCGTGCGCGTGTATGTGTGTGTACGCGAGTGTTTGTGTACGAGCGCGCGTGTGTGTGCGCATGTGTTTTCAGAATACAGGCGGCAAGGGCTAAAATTAGGCCCAACCAAATATTTAGATTTTAATATTAGAAGGGTGTGTACAACGCTTCAATCGTGAGATTCTTCTATTGCATCATATAAATGCATTTTAAATTCTCGCTTTATCGCATGTTATATCTTCTATTCTTCAATTGTACTTCCAATGAGTAATTTATAATATTAAAAAATAACTTTATTTATAAGATTATTGATGATACAGTATATACAAATATTATTAGCTTATAATAGTTCAAAATAAATATAATAAAGTTTCGTGTTAATGGTCATGAAGAATGCGACACGCGCGTGTAGATAGAGTTCAGTAGAGAACGGATTTAATACGCCACAAAACAAATCTATAAAGAAGGTTCCCAGATAAAATGGAAGATTTTTATTAAGTAGAAACAATATTTAAACACAACTATAAGCTACGTTTACAACGTACATATCAGGTTGCTGGTCAAGTTATGGTGTGAGACCTACTTGTATCGGGATAGAGCGAAATAATGGACACAATGACAACGTAAAGTGCACATTACAATACGTTTCGCTAACTACGGTTGCTGTGAAAAAAACAGACCGGTTTCTGATCGCACCAAACTCCTTTCTATTTCATGAACCACTATCGTGGTAAGTGTCATAGCAACAGTTTACCTGCGCGGAATGTAAATTCATAGTATATAATTTTTTTCATTATATTTGTGCGCAAAGTGCGATAATCCGGTTTACCTATAATCCATAGTGTTGTCGCAAATCCTGGTATTTGTAACATTGTAGACGTAGCCTAATAATACCACTGACAAAACGGTTAGCAAATTTACATGCAATTTATAATACTGATGAACAAATATCTAGTCAACGGTTGTGTGCTCTCTATCGCACCTACCAACTGTTTCACGTAACTAAACATAAAATAGATACACAAAACTGTACATGATTACAGAGTAAAATACAAAAATAAACCATCAACTCATAAGAATTTAACAAATACTTGATTCTCCGCTCAAATTCAGTAGATTGAGTTTGGTTGAAGCGTGTTCTTTGGTCGTTGAGATTAAACATTTCATGTAGGTTTATCTATATTTAGGTTGATTGCACAAACATAGATTTATACATATTAAGTATATCGTCCACATAATGACACACGTAAATAAGAACAACATTAAGTTTTGCTATGCAGACGTTTTTATAAATGTTTAATGCCACAATGGGTTGAAATATACATTTGTCGTTTGCCCATCTACCTGTCTCTCTAATTTAACTGGCCATAGATCGAATATATTATTTACACTAAGTTTTGCACACATGCTGGAGGTTCGTAACCATGAATTCTGCACCTTTTCGAAATGGAAGAAAGAGGGTCCTGGCATTGGAGAAGCGTTAAACGACAGTTAACTCATTTACCCCAATAATGCCGACTCCATTGAAGACCTTGTCTAGTAAAAAAAATTATGTTAAGCATAGCAGTGGACATCCTCTCTTTACGTGCCTACGAAAATCTAGTTCATATCATGTTTATAATCAATTTTAAGATACGGGCTAATGATTTCATAGCTTCACCGAGAATTCTTTATTTGAAGACAACCTACATGTTACAATGGCATGGTGGGATTGAATTGGAATGTGCACTTGAACTGTAATGAAAGACACCGTCGTCCATCTAGCAGGCAGTCGGGACTACGCTACTACTTTCCTGCTGATAACACGGTTTGATGAATATGCTGCAGCAATGGTGTACGCATTGCGTGCGCATATTGCAATGTCATACACTTAAAGTAGCTTTGATATATCTTATATCAGCCGTTATACCCTGTGCCTACGCCGGCTACAGAAACGCATTGTTTTCTATATTTCACGGTCAAAACTCATATTAAAATGGAAAAGTTAGAAAAACTTGCATTTGCTGTAGGAAGCATACACTGGCGGTATCATAACTAATGTTTTGTCAGCGGCTAGAGGACCTTTAAAGTAATGCATCTACCTATATATAGTACACCTCTATTAAGATGAAGGCTGTACAGAAAGTACGTGTAGGCCTACAGTAAAATAGTGGAATGTTTTGCGCCATGCGAAGATGTTTGAATCATTATCCACAAGTCCTATATACAGAATTTTTTATAATACTTACATGTAAAGACGCGGTGCATTTGGTTAATGCTAACCACAAGGAATGAATTCTTAGAAAATTTAAGCAAGTAAATATACGAAAAGTATGTATTTTAAAAAATATTGAACACAGTATACATGTACTTAAAACATTCAGTACATTGATAAAATCGTGTACACTTGTACACTGTGTATTAAAGAGAATACTGACAAACTTGAAATAGAAAATCTCCCCTTTCATACATTTACACCTTCATAGAAAGAGAATTAGATATTCGTATTGTAGGTAGAGTGCAGCAGCATCTATATTGTGATGCGCCAAAATAGCAGTGTTACCTACCGGCACAAAGATCGCTAAATCTAAATCGCCTTGCAAAAAATCCAATTGTAATTATACGAGCAAGTCGATATACAATATTTTCAAAAATTGGAAAGCCGAGGAAGACCCTGCTGGTATAATATGCACACGCAAAACTTGAAACAAGATACGTTATCTGAACGAATTTTAAGCGTTTTATACATGTGATGCAATGTGTATGTTACATTGCGAATGTTACTATATACTATAGGGAATGTGAACGTGAAGCACAAGCCAACGGTGATAGAATAACATTATAGCACGTAGATATGGTAGCAGGTGCTTTCGCGTGCTAGCGTGCGCGCGTGTAGTTTATGTTAGTAATTCTTGAATTCCAAATGGAATGGTGCATGCTATGAATTTGTCACGTGTCACGCACGCATATGAATTCTACATAACCCATACATTCCTAATTCATGTTTGTGCCTGTTCGTTTTATTTTCAAACCCTAATTCAATATTGCGCTGGATATGTTGGCATCAATGTTCATAATCTATGTATTTTCTTCGGAATGTAAATGGACTGCAGTATATCACAGCGATATACATACACATTCACCAGTATCGTTGTAAATTTTCGCCTGCTTGGAATTATAGTTTGTAGGAAAGTCACGCACAGACGCGTTGTGGTAACGAGTCTTGCCACCGTCAGATTTGAGAGCAAGCACGCCATATGCAGTTTAGAAACGATCACTGTGGTCCTCTATCACAACAGCATAAAAACCTGAGACACATGTGAACGATGAGAAAGAGAGAGAGAGAGACAGAGAGGGGTGAGAGAAGGGGGGGGGTTGTATGCCTGAGACCTGCTAGGTGAAGTTGAGCAAAAACATTAAAGTTTACACCTAAAATACCAACATCTACGACAGCAATTTACTGTGTTCTTTTTGATTTTTGAATATTTTATAATAGTACATGCCTTGACTAGCAATAATAATACATTGTTTGATTATGTTTGACAGAAAGCAGACACCACTGTATAATAATAGGGTGGTAACAGTCGCATGCTAAGTGTGGTGTTCTCTAAAATAACACCTAAATATTGGGTGAAAATAAACCCCTCGTGCAGGTTACTGTTACCCTGCACCCAAGTAAGACTTGTGCAATAGATTTACAAAGCAATATTATGCACTATAGATATGAGTGCATAACAACCTCCTATATTCTGAGTGCAGATATGGGAATAAAAGGTTTTCCCGTTATTACGAAATTTGTGGTGATGCTTGACATCAATCATAAAATAGTAAAACATAACTATAATTAGATACGGAACGCAACTACGCTGTCTTCGATCCCATTTTTATACTTGTCACCATACTTAAATATATACAAGTCAATAAAATCCAAGTGACATATTACAGGGGTACGATTTGTTCGAAGACAAGATACTTACATGTGGGGGAAATACGTGACGTAAATACTGCTATGATGTACGCTAATATTAAAACTGTCTGGAGTGAAAAAAACAGGCGGATTTATACCTCGTGTTTACACGAGGTAGAAGTGAAAAGTTTCCGTGATTCTTCTTCTATTGAAATAAAAGAGGCGACGATGAAAACGATTCCGTGCCATAATTACGTAGGCCGGAAGCGTTGAACGAGCCAACGTGAGGGACCACAGTAGTAGATATTACTAAATTGACCGTATGGTCTTGGAATGGCGTCACTACGACCAACCGCGCTAACAGAAGGCAGCCGAGCCGTTGGTCAACCTCACTACTTGCACAGCGACGTCCCGTATGACTGCGCTCCCCCGGCGGGTATAGCAAATGGATTCATACTTCCGAAGGGTGGCGATACTATGCCGTTCATCGAGGTCATTCCTGCGAACAAACAGAAGAATTAAAGTTGTTTTATTTAAAAAAAATCTCACAATAATAGAAATAATGCACGCGCATGCCTCCGTGTATGACTTGTTGCGTGCGTGTGTGTACGTCCGTGCGTGCGTGCGTGCCGGGTGTGCATCCGTACACGTGCAGTTACTGTGTGTACTCCTGACTCTAATATGCCTAGATAAGTTTCAATAGCATATTGAAGAATGAACTGTGCTTTTCATGCGGATTCCATTGGTTGATATTCGGATGTTACTGTGTGTGATGTGATGTGATGTCTCTGACATGCTACTCTCATGTGACCCTCTTGATGTGATTATGGCACACGTCTTACTCTGAATAACTCTTCGTAGTAAATATCGCAAAAATTTAAATAAAAATGGGCTGCATTCAAAAGTAAAATTATACTAGTAAGACATATAATATAGTGCAGGTTGCTCTGTGGTTCGGCCCCGGTCCGGCAGGTGTGCAGTCAAATGACTGCGGATCTGACCAGCTAGTCACTCTGTTACTTTAAAGGTTGGGGTAACAGATGTTCCAATATCGCCCGCATAATTTTACTTTGAATGCAACAAACACGAATATGCTGAGTATATGTCTCATGATATAAATGTTTGCTAAGCAAAAATTTGACCTTCACCATTTTTGAACTATAACGTGAGAAATTTATGCGAACGCACTATAAGAAATACTGCGAGTGTTTATCCACTACGTTTTTTTTTTTTAGAAAGAGAGAGGATATAGAAGATGATACTAACATGATGCATGAGCGCCCACCCCCCTGAGCTCTGCATGCTGGGACTGCCACAGGGGCGAACCACGGGAGCAAATGCACTTTTCTGCTTGACTGCCGACAGCATGTTAGCCGGAGAGAAGCTAAACAGTCCCGTTGAACTGTAGCTGTGGTTGTTGTTATCAGTCATCTGCATTGACTGCGATACTGCTGAAACAAAGGAACGCGATCAGTGCCAGTTTCAGATCAGCGCTTCTCGTTGGCTTCCTGCTCAGCGCGTAGCCTTTCTTGAGCCGTCTATCCTGTCAGGGAGTCTGTGAAACTTGTGAGAATATGCTCGTTTTCATCAGTGCCAGCGCTACTACAGGCCCTATCCTAGTTGATGACTTGCTTGAGGCTAAACCTGATTTTCCTCTAATTCTATGTCTGTCTCTGTCTCCAAATGCATACCAAATAATGACGGTTACTCATGCACATTTCCAGTATTTTGGAGACTGCTGCTATTCAATAAGCTTTCAAACAACCTCTATCGCATTTTTAATGAAAAAGAATCCATTCTTCAAAAATAGAATTTAAAAAAGGAAGAATGCATATCTTCATTTCCCCAATGAAGCAAACGAAGGAGATCACTGCGGCATAAAATATATATTATTCTTATCTCATTATTCATGGCATGAAACACAATTCTTCCTTTAATTAAACACGGTTATTTTTTATACATCGTTTTCAATTAGGCCTACCGAAAACGTTTCTGCCAATTATCAATGAATTGGAGAGGGCACAGTTTTTAAGTATTCAGCTCGCTGCAATTACCTTACTGGTATATCTGTTTTAGAATTCATAGTTATATTATACCAAGAGTCCATAATAGAGAAGGAGTCTATGATAATAGAGATTGACTCTAGAGATAGACTATGGAGATGGTCTCTATTATGGACTCTTGATTACAATGATATGAATAACTAGCTAGACATCGTGATTCGCGTAGCTTTCTGTATCTGCCACATTCAACAATCTTGCGTCCGTAAACACGGCGCAAAATATAGGTCCTGAAACCAAGAAGCAGAATATCGTTTCGAATGCTTGAATAAAACGCCGGCGCGGGTGCCCACGTCATTTTATATCGAAAGCGAAACATCGATCGATGAAACTGAGATACGTGAGTAAACCTACCATTGAAGAGTCCCGGAGAACTGGGAACCCCCATGTTGCCAATGTTGCCCGTGGTGCTGTATTGGCCGTTTATGGTGGCGCTGCTGTAGCCTGCACTGCTACTGCTGTGCGGTGTTGAGCCATTAGACGTGTAGCCCCTTGGCGACACACTGCTTGACTGTCCTCTGTTGTAGTCTGTTACAAAAAAAGCAATCAATGCAACCATATTTTACAGTGATACGATAAAAGCGCTCAATAATAATTTGCCAATATAAATGAAATAAATATATACTATATGGTAAATTATTGGAAATATATTACTATATATATATAATATATATAGTATATACGGAGAATCGAGAAGGAAATACATAATGAGATTATCTATGTATGGTACTTTGATATATAATTGCCAGCAACGTACTGTACAAGATTAGACAGTTCAGAACTGAACTAGATGAATCACTAGCGGGTCGCCTTCCGGCGTTACAGGGTGTGTTTCGCCAAGGGCTATACGCTACTCGCATCACGAGTCGATTAGAATTTACCGTCATCACGCGGCCAACTGCCCTGTGCCGTTCTCCTGTACAGCTGACGGTAGCTGACCACCTGTAGGCGGTTGATCTGGTCAGTGCCGCTGCAGAGTGATTCTGCCGCTGGAGAGACGTGGGCGGTTGGGAATAAGGACAGGCCTGGGTTGTAATGTTCTAGCATGCTGTAGAGCGCCTCTGCCAAGTCGGCTGCACGCGCTTTCAAAATGGATTCTCCTAGAAAAACGAAATTGGGTATATGGTGGAGGCGGAAGACGAGGAGGAAAAGTGTGATGAGTACCAGTCGCTGCTAGTAAATAGACACTATGCTTATTGTCTTATACTCGGTACGTGATTGCATGCCGAGTATTGCTACAATTGCTATCTGCACTCAATCGGATATATTATGATTAAAAATATAAATGTAAATTTGCGAAACATTTACGTTTGAAGTATGAGCATCATATATACCTCAGCGTTATTTGGGTGAGTATTACCACCGACATCTAATGTATCATTCAAGCATACTTTGGTAGCCTGTTCAGGTGTCACCTGGATGCCTCCGGTAACAACTTCATAAGGTCTCTGCGAAAACCAATTAGTCTATGTTTGAGCGTCTCGTCAACGCTAGGACATGGGATATAAAACCAAATCATTACGACTTGACTTTCTTTTCAGTGTACAATTATTAATTGTAAATTTTTATGATTTGTATGTATTATTATTTATTATTATTATATTATTTTATTCAATGGCGAATATTAACTATATATGGTCGACCATAAAATGTCGTATCAAATATATTACGTGAACATGAGCGATTCGCAATTAATTATATATAAATGTTTAAAGTATGAAGAAAATGATCACCTAATAGATGCAAAACTTTCATTAAGAAAGCGGTTTGAATTGGAAGATTAAAAGTGGATCAGTATGTGCGAAGCGACTTACAGGGTAGATCAAAGATCTCGGCCGCTGGGTCATTTCACTCGCAGAATTGCTTACGATTGTATGACAGCCGTCCCCGGGGGTGACTTTCAACAACACTGGGATGTGGCGCTGGGAGGCGTTTGAACCCTCAAGGGCATGGGGTGGTGTAAGCAGCTGGAATAGGAATGTGCGTGAAGTTATATGAGGGAATGCGCGGTCTAACTGGCCGCCAAATAAAACGGGCAGCATCTGCCAATTTTACACGACTTTGCGCACACGCTCTGCGTTTAGTCGATTGATATTAAAATTATATCCGTATGAGATTCATGTTCGACACGTGTCGTACATATTAATGGCATCAGGAATTATATTTTAACATTTGTGTATGCGCCGGATATCGTATTAGTTGAGCGCGGTGGAACATAGGCGCATCTGGAATAATGCAGGAGATCTTCATGAAATAGTGCGTTTGATCGTCTGGTGAATAATCGTGGTTAATAAATGGCCGGGTAACAATTTTCAAACATTGACGATAATAATTTGTTTAAATTGACTACGTCACGAATTTTCTATGGTAAAATTTGTAAAATTGTTGTTGCCATTTTTTTACATTCAAAGTAAGAACTAACGGGACTAAACGTATCGTCAAATTCTTACCTGATAAGATTGTTTCTCAACTAGTTAAAAATCAAAAAAGCCTGGACGATTTGATATTATGTTCCTGACATTAATTGCTTGCTATTTAGTGAAAAAGTAGAAATATTTATTTTTATTTTTTACTATTTACGGTGACGTAATCACTCTAAACATGGTCGCACGCTAGACGCGCAAGTCGTTGAACTATCGGGATCATTAACAGAGATCGTTAGAGTCAGTCTAGTTGGGCACTTGCAGAAGTAAATGGTTGCGGATCCTACCTCACTCCATACTATCATCGTGCCGAAAACAACCTGGATGCCATCGAAGAAGTTGTCGCCTATTATGATTACAGTGGTGCCACCTGTAGTCCAGCCCTCACTTGGGCTGATTGCCTTGATGCACGGTGTGGCTGAAGTAGATAAGAGATTGGCACATAAATCCATCACGAAGCGTCAACACGTGAAATTAGCGCCACAACATACGAGTACGCGACGTGTCATATATGTTTCCGCTCCTCGATAACAAGCGAACATAGGTTTACTGAGCATAACTGTCAAAACAACAATCCCTATAGACAAAGCGCCATTAATGTGTGAGAACGGAAGTAAAAAAACTACTTATTTAATTTAGCTACGTGCCTTTGATAATTAGATAAGGCAGTCTTAGTTATCCATAGTGCGTAATCGTATGCTTAGTGCTGCGTGAGAAGAGGCAACCATTCTCCTGTGACAGGCTAGATTGTCAAGGCGAGGCTATAGACAGCTTTGGGACTCAGCATCAAAGGCGACATATTCGAGGCAAGCATCGAGGCAACATATTCATGAATAATTGTTAGTAGTATGACATGGGGCCGATCTTTTTAGGGGCGGACTAAATTATTAGACCTATATTAGTACCCGGCGTGTGGTCCAAATATCACAGAAAGTTTCTAATACATCGCCATGTATAATACAAAAATAACAAAGAAATTCAAAATCGTTGAAAACTCATGTCTGTGGAAGTCGGGTATTTATTCAGCCATCGCCCGAATTGTATATCGTATAGCCCATGTGTATTATATAATAAAATTACTGCGCTATCTACGATCGAGAAATTTCCGCGTAACGCACGCGCGGTGTGTATTTGTTGACGTGAGACGTAATGGCTACCCGTTCGAAAAAAGCTGCCGAAATACATGTCACTGATCGATCAGCTACTGCGCTTCCAACCTAATGGTTTACGCGCAAACAAAGGGCAAATAGCTTTCTAAGTAAAATTTACGATCCAAAACATTTAGCGCATATAAGTAAATAATTACACAGAATCAAGAGAAAATAGGCGAATAATTCCTTAAAATTTCTTCCGTGTCACATGTAAATGGATATTTATTAACATTCAGTGATTAAATTTCATTTGGCCGCTCGACGAAAATGAGAGCTTAAACAGAAATTATATCATTTTAAATGCGTCGGCAACGATCAGACGATAGCACACGATTTATTGAGTAGCCTGCAAACGTTGTCGGCACGCTCTCTCTTTTTTTCTCTCTCTCGTCTCTCTCTCTTCTCCATCGTCCCCTCGTCTCTGTGTCATCTCGTGGTCGCGTTCTCCTCCTAGCGTATGTTCTCTGTGCCCTCCTCGGTTGCCTCCTCTCGCCCGTCTCGGTCTCTCGCCGATCGTCTCCGTGTTCTCTCGCTCTCTCCCTCTCTGGTCCTCTTCTCTCTTCCTCTCTCTCTGTCTCGTCGCTCTCCGCCTTCTCGTCTCTCCCTCTCCTCCTTCTCTCTCTCATATTTCGTCGTCTTGTCTCGTTGCTCAAGCGCGTTCACTCCTCTCTCTCTTCCGTCACCCTTGACTTCTCTCCTGACAGGCAACAAACTAATGCACAACAACTGCCATTGCCACGTAGAGTTTTCACGAACGATGGTTTCCTATGGTGATTTGAACATATAAATTCTATCTTTACTAAATAATCAGGTATGCGGCCAGTCAAGGCTTTTAAGACACACAACCGTGATGTTATGTTCATGAAATGCATCTTCTGCTATAATTGTCGCCAGCATAGGGATCACACATCAGGAATATTATTTTGCGACTCATCAGTACGACATTACTGTATCTTATAAAATATATGTTAATAGTATCTAAATATATAAGTATATTCGTTTATTAAGATTTATCTGATTCAATTCACCGACTTAAACAATGAAGTCTAAATATTTTCTATTTAGTGACGTCTCGATGAGCGTTATAAGAATGCAAACAAATATAGCGGAGCCACGGTTCCCCGAAACATCATTTTATTTCATAAGTCCTGTAATTTCTCCAGACGCGGTCAGGGTATATACTTCTTTAAAACCGGGGATGTGTCACAACGTTTATTAAACTACAGGACAATCCATATATTACAAGAGCTAATTATTCGGTGACTTTTAGCAGAATTTTTAAGGGTTCAATCTGACAAGAGTCTTAGTGGACTGAAAAATTATTAAATCTATTTTATTTAAATTATACAAATTAGTACTTAAGACTATACAAAATTCCATAGCGTAAACCTTTAGTAGCTTAGGGATAATCAATTATGCTTAAAAATTCGTTGTGCATTATCTTGATATCCAACTGCTTCTTGTGTTTGTCTGCGCTTCTTTCCGCTGTCGTTATATGCTAAGTACTCGACGTGTTATAATTACTTCATACACAAATTTGTGTCGAATAATCCGTGATAAAATATAGCTACACTTACCCCAAGGCACTCACTTGTGATTTTACACTTTATTAAGATTAAAACTATTACAATATTGTACGCTTGCCGTAATAGGACGTGTTGCCGGCGCTCAAAAATACCTATTCAAGTCTGCCAATCCACCAGTCCACTTCCGTCGGATCGAGGACAGGAAATTGTCTGGCAAAGACTTCCGAAAATTATAATTTCCCCCTGCAGACATATTACTTATTACTATATTTAGATTGAAGCGCACGTTTTTTCAGTAGTGCACGGCTGCATTCAAATTTTAATGTACTGCTAAAACGGAGAATGTTTTTCTGTCAGAACACTGCCTTCTGTTTAGCAGTGTCGCTTAACCCGAAATTGGCTTGTGGGTACA